TTTATAAAAAAATTAAAAAGTTATTCCCTCTCTATGAAAGTAAACCCAAAAAAACAATGAAACCTAAAAAATTTAAATTATTAAAAAGTAATAAACGTTATATATTTTAATAATATATTATATAATATTTTTAAAATTTTAATTAATAATTAATAAAATTTATTATATTTCATATATAATATTTTTAAAAAATTAAATGTTAAAATAATTTTCAACTATAATTATAATATAGTACAATTTTAACATAATTATCGCCACAATAATTCACAACAATTTCATGCACAGCTAGTAGATGTTAGAAATATCTAATTTTATGAGAAAATGATATTTGTATAATTTTTTTGTTTTATTTTTTTATATAATTTGATGTATCATTAAAATAATTAATTTTTTAAATTTACATGGGACTTATTGATATTGAATGTATTTATTTATTTAATAATATGTAAAAATTATATTAAAAATAAGATAAAAAAATTATCTCAATAGCATCATCTTTTTAAAATTATTTATTTTACAACTGTACTCATTATTACTATAATTATTACACAGCGGTTCCGTTACTATTACCACTCCTGTTTCCTGATATAAGCAATGACGTCTTCTGTTGTGTTGTTTCGGTTAGATTCGGATAGAGTCAACGCGCGGTCGTTTTAGACCACTACTGTGGATGATATCACACGCGTTCTAGAGCGAGTGGGCTGAGCTCTTTACCTTCTTTAGTTATTGTGGACCCCACGTGGCTTATCCTGGGCGCTAATGGGCATTTGGAGGACGTGTCGCCCGATGATTCGCTTGGTGTGGATCGAAGGTGATTGCTTCATTGTATTGTAGTACCTGTCTACATACTAAATTTGAAAAAAAAAAAGAAAAAAAGAAAATGATAGATAAAGATATAAATTTTATTAATTTTTAAATAATATAATAAATTTTTATTTTTTATTTAAACATTAATTGAATAATTAAAAAGTTATTAATCATATCAATATTACTATTCAATTAATTATCAAATAGAAAAAACACAAAATTAACACATTTAAATAAAAAAATTCAAAAATTATTGTTTTATTTGAAAATCAAGAAAGTTTACATTTATATCTGGACTAAATAACAAAATTTATATTATTATCTATATCTTTTCTCCTAAAATTACATAGAAAACATTTACAAGTAATTTCTTTGTATATGGTTACAATCTTTATGTGTGATTAAATAAATGAATATATATAATATTATAAATGAGTTTTCAAATGAAAAAATTAATCATATAATAACAAGTTAAAATTATAAATTTATAATATCACATGATAATTTAACAAGATTATTTTTATTTTTTAGAGTAGTTTGCCTTGCTCCTATCGTCTCTTTAATAATAAAAATTTAATAATTTTTTTATTTAGGTAAAAAAAATCAAAGTTTTAATGTCTAATAATGTAAAAGATTCAATCGAAATCATAATAACGTTAAATTGTCAAACATTATTATGAAGTAAAATAATTGCATTTGAATAATTTTTCTTAAAAAAAATATATTCAATCAAAACTAGTAGTGACAAAGCTAGCAAGAAAAAAAAAAGTCATAATATTAGGGTTTTCTTATGATATATTTATTATCATGTCGAGCAAGCCTCAATTTTCAAAATCAAATGCGCTGCTTTGGCTTTCGAAGTCTAGGTTGAATATATAGTTTAAAATATACAACATGTCTCTTTCTTATTAAATGGCCCGGAGATTCCACTTTGAGCTTTTGGTAGTACATTAACAAACTTTATTAATTAGTAATTAATAAATTAAACAAAGATTAGACGACCCTAAGTTGTTGATTAAAAGCCAAGTATTGAGGATTATATTGTAATTTATAATTATATGTTAGGTCAGACCAACCAAACAAGGAATCATTTTCTTTGTGGGGTACCTTATAAAGTCGTGGCCATTGCTTTTAATAGAGGTGGGTCCAAAGTGTGAGATTACCACATTACCCTAAAGAGGAAAGCCAGGGGACAAAAGAAGAAAAAATAATTTTCCCCAATAGGAAAGGTTCTACATTGGATGGTATGAAAAAGATGCTCCCATGATAATTGTTCTCTAATTTGTTTCCAAATGGAGTATATGAACGGCCCAGATTTGTCCATCAATATTCCTTCTTTTTCCTTTTTGATGTAGATTGTTTGTTTGTTGCTTTGTTTTTTCGTTTTTTTTCTTTTTTTTTTTTTTGGTT